TGTAGTATTCATTACGAACTTCAAATACCAAATTTGAAACGATTCCGGTAAACAATGTCGCTAAAATCATCAAAAAACCGAATATCGGGGGGTACCGTTATATGGGGGCTACAGGAAGACGTGGACCTGCACAGATAATTTTCTGTCTTAGGCTGTAGCATCCATTACAAACTTCAAATGTCAAATTTGAAATAATTCCGGTGAATAATGTCGCTAAAATCATCAAAATACCGAATATCGGGAAGTACCGTTATATGGGGGCTATATGATAACTTGGACCTACATGGCCCATTTACGAACTTAACCTGCCTACTGGGAAAAAATACATGTGTGCAAAATTTTAGCCTTCTATCTCAATTTGTTCGAAAGATAGCGTGATTACAACAGACAGACAGACAGACAGACGGACAGACAGACAGACACACAGACAGACAGACGGACATGGCTAAATCGTCTTAGAATTTTACGCTGATCAAGAATATATATACTTTGTTGGGTCTGACATGAATATTTCGAGGAGTTACAAACGGAATGACAAAATTAATATTCCCTCCATAGTATGGTGGAGGGTATAAAAAATTATAAAAGGGTACTCTAAAAGCAAAAAAAAAATATTTTTTTTTTCCATTTCCATGTCTAGTTTTTTGTGGCCACAAGTGGCTACTTATTATGGGTAAAAATAATGGGTTAATAGCTTGATTTGTAGGTATTTACCAATGCCAAAAACTAGATAGGAAACTCATTATTTGGCGATGAGATGTATCGAGTATTGAACTAGATAGCCGTCGACAAGTGTTATGTCGGGATCTCTCACGGAATTGTTTCAAATTAGGTATTTCATTCGTAATGGATACTACAGCATGTGACAGAAAATTGTCTGTGCAGGTCCAAGTCTTCATATAACCCCCATATAACGGTACCTCCGGATATTCGATATTTTGATGATTTTTGCGACATTATTCACCGGAGTAGTTTCAAATTACATATTTATAATTCGTAATGGGAACTACAGTCTGTGACAGAAAATTGTGTATGCAGGTCCAGGTCTTCGTATAGGCCCCATAAATCAGTACCTCCCTATATTCGGTATTTTGACGATTTTAGGTACAATACTCACCGAAATTGAATGTGTTCGATGATCGTGGTTTGTTTCAAAGTACATTCTGCTTCGTTCTTGCTTCTCGCACTAATTATACCAGCTGTGTCGCCACATAGCCCAGGAGGAAAGTGTTTTGAGGCATTTCTATTATAAATATAAATATCCTCTCCAAGCATGGAGCCTTAAGCTGACGGAAACTAGATATTCCGTCGGTTGTGCTCTGGACCAATTCTCAGCTGTTGAAATAGTCTGCAATGATGCACCTCGAAAAAGTTGAGACATCGAATTGAACTTCTAGTGTTTGTAGGTCGTCCTTCCAACTGAGATTGCAAAAAAAAAAAATTAACATAGAGAGTTAATAGGTATCAGCGGTCCGATAAGGAGGTGCTTTAGTTGCGTTGTTTCGAGAAGGCGTGAATGTCCTTGGTTAAGGACTGTAGACCTGCCTAGCCTGAAGTCATGATGCTTGCTTAATAGAACTCAATTTCCCTCAAAGGTCAGTCTGGGTTTGATAAGCCTTTCAAATAGTTTACCGATGGATTCGATCGTACAGAGATCTTGGTAAGCAAAGAGAGAGTCAGTATCTGCATTTGCTTTCCTTATAAGTACCAGCTTCTGTGTATTTTAAATTTTAGGATATTACCCTTGTAATAAACATATGTTGTACATATCACGATTTAGTTTTGGACGTTTGAGCGCTATCTCCTTCATTACGTCGGTTCGTATGCCGTATGGGCCCGGTGTTTTCCCCGACTTTGGTTGGGGCTTACAAAGTTCCCTTGACTGCAACGATTATAGCGTTTTTTAGTTAAAGCGGAGTGGCGTTTGTAACATTCCCTTAACTCTAACATTCGTGAAGTGTGTGTGTTCTCTTCTAAGAGAACGTTCCCTTTACTTATAAGAGTATTGTTTTACGTCTTTGGAATTGATAGGGTTTTTAACGTTCCCTCAACTCTTAAATTTGTGGAGATTATGTGTGGTAAATCAAGAGGCGTCTATAACATTTACTTTACTTCAAAGAGTATTGCTTTACGTCATTGGGGTTGAGAGATGTTTCTAACGTTCCCTCAGCTCTTAAATTTGTGAAAATAGAGTATGCTCTCTTGTAAGTAAGGAGGGGTTTCCAACGCTCCCTTTACTATAAAGAGTAGTGTGAGATAATGTTGAAGTGGAGTAGGGTTTCTAACGTTCCCTCCATATAACGTGTTCACGTGTATTTTGGAAGAGAGTATAGGTGGCACCCCTGTGTCGAAAACGATGCCAAGTCACTGCCATCGATTCGTCAGCTGTTTTGATTGACGTCGCCGTACAGTGTGCTGTGTTTCTTACAATTAACCAAGAGATGCAGATGGAATTATGTGAACTGTTACTGCAATTGTGCTCCTTGGGGACAATCTTTTATTTAAATTTGGGGATATAAGTGAACATGTCTTTATACTAAAAGGGAATAGCGGGGCTCTCAGGATAAACAGGGATCTTTTTATGCAAATCAATGCGAATAATCCGTTGTAAAGTGGACCGAGCCATGCCCAACTGCTGAGAACGGTGTTTTTGGGATGTTCTTGAGGACCTCTCAACACTGGCTCGTACGGCAGCAATATTCTCGGCCGATCGCCTTGGTCGTCTTCGGATTAGAAAGAGCCTTACCAGTCGAAAATTTTTCGTATAAACGCTTAATGGTGTTCTTAGAAGGCGCACTTCTCACATTTTTTAATGTTTTAAAAGCACGTTGAGTTTTCACAATTGACTTCTTCTGTTGAATGTAAATTTCAACTATTTCAGAGCGCTCGCGTGGCGTGTATTGGTTCATGGTAAAAATCTGCTTGGACTGACGCTTCAAACGCGGTATGTCATTAAGCGATGTGACATCTCTGTCAAAAGTTATGGCGTTGCCAGATGGGTCCGTCGAATATGGGCAACCCTGTATTAGCGGTCGGCTAAAGTGGTGCTTTAGTTGCGTTGTTTCGAAGGCGCAAATTCCCCCACTCAGGGCACCTCCATTTCCCTCAATGGCCAATCTGGGTTTAATGAGCCTTTTAAGTAGTTTAACCGCGGAATCGAGCAAGAATAGATGTCCGTTAGCTGAGAGAGAGTAAGGATCTGCATTTCCTTTGCTTATGAGTACCAGCTTTTGAGTCTTCCAGATTTTAGGAGGTAACCCTTGTAATAAACATATGTTATACATATCACGATTTAGTTTTGGACGTTTGAGCGCTATCTCCTTTATAACGTCGGTTCGTATGCCGTATGGGCCCGGTGTTTTCCCCGACTTAAAAAAATCGCTTGACTGCAACGATTGTTGCGTTTTGTAGTTAGAGTTCAGTGGGGTTTGTAACATTCTCTTAACTCTAACATTCGTGAAGTGTGTGTGTTCTCTTGTAAGTAAAGAGGGGTTTATAAAGTTCCCTTTACTTCTAAGAGTATTGTTTTACGTCTTTGGAATTGATAGGGTTTTTAACGTTGACTCAGCTCTTAAATTTGTGGAGATTGTGTGTGGTAAATCAAGAGGCCATCTATAACATTTACTTTACTTCTAAGAGTATTGCTTTACGTCATTGGGATTGAGAGAGGTTTCTAACATTCCCTCAGCTTTTAAATTTGTGAAAATAGAGTGTACTCTCTTGTAAGTAAGGAGGGGTTTCCAAAGCTCTCTTTACTATAAAGAGTAGTGTGAGACAGTGTTTAAGTGAAGTGGGGTTTCTAACGGTCCCTCCACTTTAACGTGTATGCGTGTATTTTGGAAGAGTGTATAGGTGACACTCTGCATCGTAAACGTTGGCAAAGTCACTGCCATCGATCTGTCTGCTGTTTTGAATTTTTGATTTTGGGTGTACACCAGTGCTCAAAAAGAAATATCTCTTTTCAGTCAAATTCCTCTTTGCTTTTTTAAATCAAGAACAAAACAATGTTAAGTCATTATTTATACAAATATTTTTTATCCATTTGCTTTATAAATTATTTTGGCAAACATTCGTGTTTAATAACAATTAAATAGAACCGTAAAATATAAAGAAAAACAGAATTTTAATTTTCTCTTAAATTATCTCTTTTTTCTCTTCATGTTCTAGAACACGGTTTTGAGCACCGCTGGTGTACACGGATAAGTGAACATGTTTTTATGATAAAAGAGAATAGCGGGGTAACCTAGTGTAGATAAGAGAGATTTGTTAAGAAGGGATCTTTTTACTACAGTCCACATTAAATAAGATAAGAAAATGTGCTGAGCAGGCTTTCGTGTCAGTGGAAATAAATAATATAGAATTTCAGGATGTAATCTTTACTCAGACCTGTAAGCAAGGGCAGCATGTTTGTTTGCCACATGTGAGATAGCTTTGCGTGTTTATGAATTCCACCTAAGATTTATGGCGGAGTGGTGCATATACATACACACTTTTACACATATTGCTAATTTAGGTTATGTCATTCTTAAGAAATATTTTTAATAAATAATTTGGCGTCTTAGTACTACTCAATAAGGAAAAACGTGGTGTTTTTTATGAAACTAATGATCCCTGTTTACAGTTTGACTTTGTGAAACAGAGCGTTCCATACTCTGCACCAAATTTTTGAAATTTTAAGGGTTTTCAAAACATTACAATCTCTAACAGATATAACGGATTATTAAAAAGCCCCCAATAACTCCAAAAACTATTCAGAGTGGGTTTGATTAGGCGTATTATTCAATTCTTATCATTCAATTCTTCATTTCAAAATGGTGTAGCACATCCACAGTTCGTGGCGGCCAAACTAAATGCTTTTTTTTTCTTGTTTCTATTCCAACAGAGCAAAGTGCGTCTCATGTCGCTTGGAATTATTGCGTAACATTGACAAAGCATTTATTTCAATTACCAACCACAATTTTATTTTGTTGTTTTTTTCTTGTTTTTCATTTATCATTCAGGTACACCCAGAATATGCCTTTAGCTATGGCGTCAAAGATCTGCATACCGGCGATGTTAAATCTCAATGGGAATCGCGTGAGGGTGACGGTGTCAAGGGTCATTATAGTGTGCTGGAGCCAGACGGCTCCATACGAACTGTTACCTACACAGCCGATGCTAAATCCGGTTTCAATGCCATTGTCAAGACAGTGGGGGCGAATTCACATCCCGTCACCGATACACCACATGCCAAGGATGGCAAGAGTGACGACACCTCACAATCGAAAATCAACCACTATAGTAAAGATCAGGAACACATAGTGTTGAGTTCGGATATTAAGCCACTGAAGAAGCCCATAGAGGATCTTACGCATTCGCATCCAAAAATACCCAGTTTGATAGAATTCAAACCTCACGCCCGAATACGTCAAGTGCCCATGGAACTGGAACCGGGCATGAGAGAACGGTTACAGGAGGCCCGTGATAATTATTACAAGGACATTTCAAAGAATTCTCAAACCAGCTTCCAACCTTCGGGGTCCATTTCATCTAGTTATGATTCCCATCACGACAATGATTGGAAGGCTGTGGTGGGTCTGAGTCAAGGCTATCAAAATGTGGAGGATTTTCTACATCCAGTGCCGGCAGGAAATCACTACGACAATGAGCCGCTACAACCAATTGCTAAGCCCTCATATAAACCGCAACGCCATACCGATTTCATTGCCTCAAAGCCACATTATCCTCAGCAACAGCTACAACAATTACAGCATCAGGTTCAACAACATTATTCACAACAACCCCAACAACAGCAGCAGCAGCAACAACATCACTATCCTCAACGCTATCAAATAACCGCCCCATCATACCCTGATCCCCAGAGTAATGCCATACCATTTAATAGCAAGAAAATCGGTGTAAAAACCACCCTGGGCCTGAAACACTACGCCTCGTTGCCACACAAATACCTGCATCAGAAACCGCGTCATGATTATTCAGCGTATTTTCAACGTGGTGGTGGCAAAAAGCCTCGTAAGCTCGACATCCATAAACCCTCAGACTTGGATCTCCTGGAAATCGATGAAGAGGAGGCCGACGAAGAACTCGAACAGAATGCCGCCTCTGCCAGTCTGGTACAGTCGATGGTGAAGCGGGACAAAAAACACATGGTGCCAATGTATGCGGGCCATTATGGGCCCTGGAATTCGCCGTCACAGCAAAAGGTGCAAAATTTCCGTCCTTATCGTCGACTTTGAGCACGATTGCGTTTTTGGTTATTTGGGGAGTTTGTGGCATTCAAAAAAAAAGAAAAATATACAGGACATTGAGCTACAATGCAAAGAAACTTAACTTAAAAATTGCCTCATCCTGGAAAATGCCATGGTAGAATTAAGAAGGTATCATTTCAAAATCAGTCTATTCAGCTTTGCATTTTCTGTAATTTACATTGACAAATTTAACTGCATCGATTAAAAATTTTATTTCATTTTAAATTCGGAATTTAAGTCCATTTGCATTTAGCTCACAGAATATTAGTGTTTGTTACTTTTTCGTTGAGTTGTTAAGTTAATAATTTACTTAGTTTTAAGATTAATTTAATTAAATTATTGCATTTTTAATTTTAAGAATTTGTTGTATTATGAATAAAATCAAAACTGTTGTAGTGGTTTCGGATGGCTTTTTCTTTTGTTCTCAAACAGGTAAATAACATTTTTGGTCATAACGTATTTGAAAATTAATCTATATATAATCTATCATAGGTGTCAAATGGACCCATGATAGAAGCATAACGAATTCAATTTCTCTGTCCAATTTAAGTTAATTGAGTCTTTTCTATGCTAACACTTAAGTGGACAATTTTGAGGTGGTAAAAAATACCTGAAAATGTATTTTTATACCCTCCACTATAGTATGTAACACCTCGAAATACACATTTTAGACCCACAAAGTACGGGGTTGTCCATATTCGACGGACCCATCTGGCAACGCCATAACTTTTTACAGAGATGTCACATCGCTTAATGACATACCGCGTTTGAAGCGTCAGTCCAAGCAGATTTTTACCATGAACCAATACACGCCACGCGAGCGCTCTGAAATAGTTGAAATTTACATTCAACAGAAGAAGTCAATTGTGAAAACTCAACGTGCTTTTAAAACATTAAAAAATGTGAGAAGTGCGCCTTTTAAGAACACCATTAAGCGTTTATACGAAAAATTTTCGACTGGTAAGGCTTTTTCTAATCCGAAGAGGCCATATAAAAGTCGGCCAAGGCGATCGGCAGAGAATATCGCTGCCGTACGAACCAGTGTTGAGAGGTCCCCAAGAACATCCCAAAAACGCCGTTCTCAGCAGTTGGACATGGCTCGGTCCACTTTACAACGGATTATTCGCATTGATTTGCATTTGTTCCCGTACAAAATTCAATTGACGCAAAGAATGTTGCCTGCGGACAAGCCTCGTCGATTGGAATTGGCCCAAAGAGTCATGGGTCCGTCGAATATGGGCAACCCTGTATACACAGGGTTAGATGCAAAAACTGCAACCAACTTCAGACTGCTGTCATTTCTAAGTAACTCGTCCGAAAGCTGTTAAAATTATTCCAGTGGCAGCTCATTATATTGTTTACAAGCGTACAAAAGCATTTTGGTGAGAATTTAAGCGTTATAGTGTGATTTCTTTATATTCGGCTGGAAAACCACAAGTGGCCATCGTTAGAGCATTCCAGCATTTAAATGTGAATAAATCTTTTGTGTCTCGTTATCGTGATACTGGTAGCGTAGCCCGACTTGAAGGAAGTGGACGGAAGAAACCAGCAACACCAGCAGAAATGGTTCGAAATGTAAAGACGCGACTTGATCGAAACCCGCGTCGCAGTGGCCGAAAAATGGCTCGTGAACTGAACATATCGCAATATTCCATTCGGCAAATATTGAAAAATGAGCTCGGACCAAAGCGGTTGAAATTCCAAAAATTGCAAAAACTTACACCGCAACAGAAAGAAAATAGACTTAAAGGAGCTAAAGAGTTGCTTCGCTTGGCCGAAAGTGGTGAACTGCCGAATTTGGTTTTCTTCGATGAGAAAACATTCGTTGTCCAGCAGTTTGTAAACAAACAAAATTATCGAGTTTACTTATTCTTAAGAAAAGTACAATAAAGACGTCGAATCAGTTTAACTAAACAAAAATATTGTATTTTAATGAATTAATTTATTATTATTATAAATTATTCTTACAAAAAAATTGGTATGCCGACTGTTGGAACATGCCATACCGACAATTGGCAAGTGGTGCCGACTACTGGCACAAAAGCATTGTTTTAATAAAACTACAAATTTATGAAATTTAATAAAAACTTATTAAAACGTTATTTATTATTGCGAAAACTATACAAAATTTCGAATCTGAATAAATTAACTTTGTAATAATTGAAAAGTTCCACTCAGAATGGTGAGCGATTAAAAACGCGAAAATCCTAAGAGTGCCGATTACTGGTACACTTACCCTATATTATGATTGGATTAGGGCAGAAATCTCCAGCACCAGTGTCTTCATTCATGTTTGAAACGTCAGTGTATTCCGACTTATTGGTATGTTCAGGATTAATGCATGACCAAAACGCGTAAAGTACCATCGTCCAGCTTCCCGTAGTCTCAGCGCAATCCTTACTGCATACAACTGAGTGCTCTTGAAAGCTCCAATTGTCAGTAAGGAGTTGGCTCGTTTGCACTTTTAACATGAGCGACCTGGACCCAACTGTAGGTAAGAATACTGTGACGTACATCAAGCGTACGAGCCCCCAGATCTTCGCTAAGACATTTATGCGTGAATAGTTCCTGTTTCAGTTTAAACGCTGGTCCAGGGTCGGCCCAAAATATTTAAGACTTTTGTGACTGTTCACATTTTTTTTATAGGAATTTAAAACTGGGCATTGGCCTTTTTATTTTCTAATTTCAATTATTTACCGACAAGTGATCTATTTACAAATTAGTCACTTAGTCACAACTTGTGGGTGACTAGTCGTATTAAATAGTGTCTCATTTTAAAATAAGTCAAAACAACTTCTTGTTGTTCATTTTAATCAGCAGCAAATAGTTCTCAGAAGCTAAATGCGATTTGGTTATTTCTTCGATGACAACTTTCCAAAAGCGTAGGCGTTATGGGCTCCTACATCCTCTACACGCTAACAAAACCGAACTAGACCATGCCAGAGCACATGTGGGATGCAAATTATGACTGATATAAGTAATTATGGCCATGACTTACTGTTTCTTGTGTGTTTTCTACAACAACAACGCTCAGTTTTTTTTTTTTTTTGTTCTTAACAATATTCTCTCACCTCAGAACAAATCAGTGTAAAATTTGCATTATTCGTTTATGGTGCGGTGTATCAAAGCCATGGTTGTCATTCAAATGCAAACAACAAAAAAAAAATCCAAGGTCCATGAAAAGGTCGATACGAAGCTACTGTTAAACTTTGGCGGTCACTTGGACAGCAGTAACAGCAAACGGTTGTAGAACCAATTACTGGCAACTGCCAACAACTTAAATATTGGCAACCTTGGCAAAAAGGTAACGGCCAGCCTACAATGTCAAAGCCTTATGTTCTGAAATCCAAAAAAAAATCGAATAAAAATCACCGGCAAATGCAAATCAATTGCAACACTTTGAGATGTCAAAAATTTCAGAGAAAATGTGATAACACTTGTCACATTAATGGCCAAAAAACGTAATGAGCCACTCGAACAAATTTATGAATGGCTCTAATTGCAAACCATTTAAATAGCCATTGGAATTTTAAAAATAGTTTTCTCAGCCGCTTGGCGTTCCACTTTACCAAACTCTAATCTCTTCGTGTTCTAGTTGCTGGAATATTTGCTTACTTCCAATCAACCAGTCAGCCAAAAGGTGCGTAGCTACACATTTACGCTCGAATAACCAAGTGGCCGTCCATTTGCATCTCACAAAAGTTGATAACCTTTTACTTGACTCCGTCAATAAGCCCCAACCACCATTGCATTCGGCCATTTGAGAATAAAAAAACTAAACTAATCTAATTACATTATCGCTAAAATATGTTCTAAAAAACATATTGGTATTTGTCGCCGATTTTTTGTTTTGTTTTTTTATTTACATGTTTGTTTTTATCGAATCTCAATATTCTTGAAGAGAATTGAAAACCAGATGCTTTCATAGAGGGTACGCTACATGCGATGCAGACTTATATGCATTTAGAATAATTATTTGATACACATGTCCCACAAACATGTCCAAGTAATAATGTCGGAAAAAGAAACTCACATAAGGCCAGTAAGAAAAGTCAAAAGTCGGGCGGGGCAGACCTACGCTATGCATATTTCGTAGAGCTCCCGTAACAAAAGAATTTATTTCATCAACATTTGGCTTTAGAGCAGTTATAGTTTGCAATAGAGTGCATGATATCACATGGAGAAGGATTAAATTAAAACAAGTAAAAAAGCTGTAAGTTCGGCCGGACCGAACTTTGAATACCCTCACCATTTGGAACGAATTTAAAAATGCTCAAAAACAAAAAATTCCCTTAAAAATTCTATTTAAATTCTATTAGGGTCTTTACGACGACATGGACCTGTATTTTGCCATAAGCCATTACAGTATTCAAATGCAAAACTTAAAAAAATCGGCGAAAAATTTAGCTAAAATCATGTAAATACTGAATATAGGGAGGTACGGTTATATGGGGGCTATACGAAGACGTTGACCTGCCCAGACAATTTTCTGTCTTAGGCTGTAGTATCCATTACGAACTTCAAATACCAAATTTCAAACAATTCCGGTGAATAATGTCGCTAAAATCATCAAAATACCGAATATCGGGAGGTACCGTTATATGGGAGCTATACGAAGATTTTATCAATCCACTTCAATTCGTTCGGAAGCTAGAGTTATTTCCACAGACGGACGGACATCGCTAAATCGACATAGAATTTTATGCTTTGTGGGGGTCTAAAATGTATATTTCGAGGTGTTACAAACGGAATGACCCTCCATACTATAGTGGAGGGTATGAAAATGATTTGTTACACTATTCAGCAATTTTGGCCAAGTATATATGTCTCTCCTTCGTGACAGAAGTACGAACTCATAAGAGGGAAACGAACTGATAAGAGGGAAGCATAAGACAAATAATTCTCATTCACTTTGGGTTACGATGAGAAAGGCTTGCTACTGCAGGTGGCTTACCAAAGGGTAGTTAGTGATTTTCTGTCCTCCGGCTATCAGA